GACGCCTAGGGATACGGTTTTGCTATGGGTAGGCCTGCAACATTCTTGACTTGCCTTGACCATTTGTTAAACAATAGTTGGACTAGACAAATGAAGGTTAAGTTACGTGTTTTTCCCGTAATGACCAACCAATTTTGGGTGTTTGGCTTTCCAGGTGTCTATGCTCAGGCTTCAACTTGCTTGTTACCAAGTGCTTGAGCTAAGTGCGCGTGCGGCCCGCTAAGTGCGTATAGGCTTTTTTTTCTGAACTCCAGTGCTGGTGTGCACCGTGCACCGCCAGCACTAACGCTTCAGTTTTGGGTCTCAAAAAGTGCCCCCGTCCTGCAGGTGATATGGATTGATGTGCATGAAAGTTCATGTCCAAAGCGGATGACCATCCTTAATTTAATTACTGTAAATTAAAGGGAAGCAACCCAGTGTTGAGGACATAATGATCGATAATGATTGTGGACATTGGACCGCCGAGGCGCAGCAAATTGAAACTGCCACAGGCACCACGATGCTTGGTTGCGCAAGATTCAAACTGAGCCAATACAGCCGCCCATGAAAGTCCGCGTCATTATTGTTAATAGATCGACTACGCCAGGATGAGTTTTCAACTGTTGTTATCCAGCATCAGGTGTATAGAATTTGGGCATTCCAAAGTCCTATGATCAGGGAAGAAACACAATATTCAATTTTTGAAGAAGCAGCTAGCCATATGCATAGGCTATAGAGATCATTATAACATGGTCCAACGTGGTTTGGGCTCCAGCCCCAAGAAAGCTCTGAAGAGCTGGACACCAACGAAGTGGGTTCGGGGGTGTCGCTGGGACTCGATTGGGTTCCTTTGAGTCTTTGGGTGTCGGACCACTGGTGCTCCAAACGATCTTTGCACTACCCAAAGGCTGCACAGGCAGTCAAACCTGATACCCGTTGTGTTTGCTCAGGATGCAAGTGTCACTATTGTCAACTGAAAACAATTGTGGAGCTTTTGACTAACATTGATTCATTATGACAACTGGATCCGCTGGATTCTGCTGGGTCGGCTCAAATTCTCGAACACTGGGTTCGTTCCGCGAAGGGATACCAGGCGCCCGATTTGTCCTCAAAGGTCTCCTTCTTCGAGCTAGATATAGCTAGATAACTAGCTATAGATACTATAGACGACCCATGTTTTGTCCACTCGGAGTCAAGAGTCTATCAAGACGCACAGCGCACTGGCCACACAGCAATCAGAGTTTGGCCCAGAAGAGATGATTCAGATGTGAGGTGGGTGCTGAACGCAACTTTGTGCAAGAATTGTTGGAAATCAAATGTGAGCAATCACCATGAGTTGCAGTGGCCAATTGTTTGGTGCTATGGGCGATGGTTACGTGCAGATCCCATAATAATTAGATCCGTGCCCTGAAGAATCAAACAACGACAAAGGCAAACATAAGGAGAAAGCAACTGAACAAAGCTCTGGCGACGCAACTGGTGCCCTAAATGCATAAGACGCCTATGGGACTCAACGAACGGCGCAAGCAGCATAGACCTTGTGGGACTCAACAAGCAACATAAAATGCTACAAAGCTATAGTTAGACTAGTTAGATATTAAAAATCATATTGAGGCATATTGGTATGCCTGCATGCACGAGAAGTGCACATGTCCTTGTCAAACAAGCAGTGCAGCACCATCACATCATCATCTCCACCTCCTCAAACACAGCTGTGTCTCGACCAGACCCGCTTGACGGGTGCAGAAATAATCTGGTGTCGGAACAGTGGCATTGAGAGTCCCTGGTGCCTGGTCTTTTTGGAGCCTTGCCAGAGGCATGACCAACACAGCGCATGAGGGATCATGGAATTCGGGTGCCAGGAATCTGTGACCGGAATCTTTGGGGGATGGAAGTTTTTGGTAGTTTCTTGCTACGAGTAACAAGTGAAGCGCTACTAGTTGCAAGTGCACTACTACTAGTAGCACGTCAGCTACTAATAGCGATGCCCTTACTGCTAGAAATGCCCAATGTCCTGTGGCTCCACCCTATATCCGCACCACATCCCCGGAAACAGAACTGGCACAGGCCAACAGGCCAACAGAATGGAGGGCTTGATGTGGCGTGATGTCAAAAAGTGCATCTGCAAAGGGGATACCTTAGGGATGCTCTTTGTATACCAAAGATGGACCCTCCAAAAAGTGTCATCCACCGGTTCGAGACGGTTGGAGCTCTGGGATTCTTCAGGACATGGAGACTTCGGGTGCCATGTCAGGGCCATCAAGCCGGAAGGATGTGCAGGTGTCCGGCAGGGTAGGGTAGGGATCACTCGAAGTTGACCAGCAATTCAGAGAAGAGCCTGGCGTGAAGAGCCAGTACCATTAACTCGAGTCGTGGCACTGAGCTGGTACGTTCTCCCTTCCTGCAAGGTATTATCGCTGCTATCTGCTCTCCACCACAAGTCGCAACACCAGGAATCCAATGGTCTCCAAGGCAGTCGAGGCAACGAAAATAGACAACATATCCGGCGCGCGCCTCTGGACAAGCCTTGGTTGAAGATGTGCCACCAAATTGTAGATTTGAAATTTGAAAGCCAAGAAGTGACCCTGACTGTTGAGCCCCAGCATTGGTATGGCATGGTAGGCCCAGAGCAACTGCTGCACACAGTTGTGTTGCGCCTTGAATTCCCCACAGATTTGCCTAAAAGCACTCACCACGTCTTGAGGAAAGAATAAGGGCATGCTGCCACAGCGACATGATCCAGGTCTTTCGCTGGCCACCGTCTGTGTTAGCATGAAACTTGTATGCGTGAAAAAAGAACCAGTACAAACCTGTATGCTGCCCCAATGGGCCAGCAGCATGCATCACGTGTTGCAAGTGCCCAGGCCCAAACTCTCAAATGTTTTGCAAGCATTTGAATGGATCAAGAAGCATGTTCAGTGATTGATGGTCAATGGGTTCCCAAAAGACGATGTTTCTTACTCATCCCAGTGGTGGAACCTGTGGTTCATTCTGTCTGGTTCATTCAGCCCTTTGAAGTGATCACCAGGTTGGCACAAGACTTCGCTCTGGATTGAGATGCAAAGGACTCGAAATCCAGGAGGAAGCGATTCGTCGTGCATGAATTTGTTTCAACCGATATCATTTAGCCTGGGCTTGCAAATGTTCGATGTGAAAATCGACACCCAATGTTGGGACACAGGACTGACAAAATCTGACCAAACACAATCTTTCGGATGTGTAAATGAAGCCGCCTCTCATGTACTTATAAAATATATACAGTATATATATATATATGTAATATGTATTGAAGTCCAAATGGTTGAACATCGAACTATGTTGCACATCCTGAGTGCTCCAGTAATATCATTGAATATCTTGATGTTCTTGGTCTCCGAGACACTGTCCATGAACTGATCAGGTGTGGCCACCAATTTTATTGCATCAATTTGCAGGCAAAGGCCAGTTGAAAGCTCAAAGCCCGAAACGATGGGCTCTGCCAGTGCAGTGCAAGCGATGGATGTTGTCCCACCGCTCCCAAAACTTCATGTAATCACGCGTTGTGCTAAAGCGAAAATACAGCCAGCCGCAAGTCGCTAGGTTGTACTGCCAGTGGTTAAACAAACCTCGTATGTCACGTGCGGTCTCTGCTTGGTCGAAGAAGGTGCTTTCGACTCACCAAGCAGAAACCACCAAAAGATAGTGGTCTCTCCCACTCTGACCAATATGTGTTTTTGTTCTGCTTGGTCTCACTGAAAAACAAATAAACATATTGGTCGGTGGGACTCATCATCCCAAGATCCGGTTGACACTGCAATGACTCCATGAACGAAATGCTTCAGTTGCTGTACTGTAGAGAAGGTCTCTTATTTGCCCTCCAAATGGTTCCCCCTCAAAAGACTGCGGAACATCACAGAAGTATGGGTGTGTATTAGATAGGGAGACCCCCAACCAATGGGCTTTCGTAGCCTCCATGTTCGTAGCCTCAAAAATGGCATGTCATCTGATCAAAGGGCAGTTACATCGCAGTTCCTATGACTTTTTTGCTGGGATGTGGTTTCGGTGTGGTTTCCAGGTGGTTTCAGGGCGGACACATCGGATGTCGCTGGTCGGAGCTACGCGCATCGGATGTCGCCGAGCCAACTGGGTGACGAGATGGTCGAACTTCACAGCATGACCTAGCAACCTTGGAGTCTTGGACTTCTGCTGGCCTGAGACGCTCTGATGCCCAAAAGACACTGGCCTCAAGCCCCTTTTCTCGACCCACAGCGTGTCTATTTTTGAACGCCAACTCCGGGTTGGTGAAAACGGCGCGAGTGAGGTCTACCGCTCTACCGGTCTCATACCGTAGTTCTTTGAGGCCAGTCCACCCGATGTTCAGCGACCCTTCGTTCGGGTGAATCACGTAGGACGACGTAGGAAACGTCCCGTCCACACATGTCTGTCGTAGTCCCGAACATGTATGCCACATGTCTGCAGATTTGGGCTTTGGATGGCTTTGGTATATTATACAAACATAGTTGTCTTAATGGCTCTAAGAGAGATGTCACCTCATAAATCCTCATAACACATCGCTAGGTCGACACGACACAAACTTTAGGTCGACTCTTGAGAGTTTGATCTCGGTCCGCGGGACACCGGCCAATGTTGGGGCAAATTGAATTGAAACTTGTCGTCGAAGGTCCGCAGCTGTCTGCACCAGCCTCGTTCGTTCGAGGAAGGCGCTGATGCATTGTCCTGGACCTTTAGGACCTTTGGAGCTGCGTTCGTAGCGTCCGATCGCTCCTACTAGTAAGGCCAGGAGCCCCTTGGATCTTGGTGGGTTAGTGGCAAGTGAGGTGCTTCCCCGCTCATGTGCACGCATGAAGTGGACAACTGGAAGCCGCTGAACATCCACTGACTGTGTCGTGGTGACGACTCGGTGGGACAAAGCAGGTGGTGGTAAACACAAGCAACTTTAACTGTTGGTCTCTTGATGTCTCTTGTACTTGGCCCTCACCCACAATGAGACATCGTTCAAAAAATGGTCAACACAAACTGGCCTAGTTGACGAGCGCCAGCAAAAGCCCACCTGGCAATGAAAGGGCGAGAACTGGCGCGAAAGTGAGCCTTCAAGTGAGACTCCTTGTGTCGAACAACCATAACACGATCATGGCACAAATCAACGTGCATGTTTTTTGTAATGACCTCATGTGTCTTTTCCATGTGAACCCTGCCCCTATCCCCTCCAACAGCACAATGGTGCCGCTATGCTTCAGCTTTTCGACCAAAGGTGTTGTGGTGTCCCCATCTGGGCCGGAAATCTGGTAGAGGCGTTCACCAGAGGGATCGGGACCTGGACAAAGACCCGGATTGGGATTTCAACATTGAGGAAAAGGCCTGGCCATGCCCGGCCGCACGGCCCTTAAAAGTTTAAGACCAGGGGGGTTTTTCGTCTTTCCGAAGGTCTTCCAAAGCCAAGGTGACCTTCGTATAGTTTGCTTTTTAAGAAAGAACACCTCACCTGCCAGCATGCCGCTGACGTGGTGCTGGCTTGCCGCCCAGGAGGAGCCGGTGCCAGGTGGCTCGGTGACTCGGCGGGTGGTTCGGCTGAATCGGCTCGGCGACATTCTCGGCTCCGTGTCAAAGGCTCGGTGTCCCGAAGATAAAGAGCGGTTTCCAATACATTTTGGGTGGGGATCTACCTTTTCTATCTATTTGGGGTCTCTCTCTCTCTATATATATAGACGGACTGGGATGAGTCAAGATTTGACTTTTGAGCAATCATAGATGGACAGTCTCAAACCGATTTTGCCAGGTGTGTATATACATATGTAAATACCCTGTACATCCCAACCAATGAAGAACCATGAAACACCCGACCAAAGTTAAAACAGAAAACAGAAGGAACCGCAATGGGACGTTTGTGTTTTCTGTACCTAGACTTAAGTTGCGTTGAGTTGCATTGACCTTTCGATAATTGTAACACAGTAGAAAACACAAATAAGGAACATAGTAAAAACAAAACCCACAGAGTTCTCAGAGACTCTTGGCTGGACCCCACCCCTTCCCCAAGACTTCCCCAGAATTGTTTTTTGTTTTCCCAAGGTCTTTCTGACTTTTTAATGTTTTGGTTCTTATTGCAGTGTTTCTTTCTAAGGCAATCTGTGCTATTCCTATCTTGTTCAATCTCCAAGCATCTGAGCCCACCTGAAGTCTTCTGTTCTTTCTTCTTACAACTCAAAGCGTCTGAGACCAACACCCTTTGCCCTGGTCGATATGTCCATGTGCTCTGTGCGCATTAACTTATGATTGGTATCAGTGGTGTTGCATTTCCAAGCAGCTTGACATGTGAAACGTAATGAACATGTGGAAGCTGTAGTTGTGATTCATTGTTAGTTCAAGTCTAACTAAATTCAAACTCAAGTCTGATTTACTTCTATAGTTTAGTTGTAATTCAACTCTGACTTAATTCTAAACTAATTCTATGTTACGTCTAATGTACTTTTAATTATTTCAGTCTTAACTCAAGTCAGTTCTAATTTATAGTGTCATTCAAATCGTAAGTCAAGCCAAATTTAATTCTAGTTCAGCCCTAATGTTACTTCTAGTTGAATTCTGAGTTTAATGATTCTGTTAACTTTAATTCCCCGTTCTGTTCTAGTTCAACTCCAACTTAAATCAAAACAAATACGATTTAGTTCTATTCTAATTCTAAGCTAGTGCAAATTCAATTTCAATTTTGAGTTCAGTTCAATTCTAACTCAATCCAATTCAATTCTAATTCAGATCTAATTGAATTGAAATTTAAATCTATCTTGGTTCCAATTTCGCGTTAGTTTACGTCGAAATTGATTCTAATTGAATTCTAGAAAGCGGTGTTGCTGGGGGTGTGAGTTTAAGAAAACACATGCTACAAGACCCTGTATTTTACAGTGTTTTCTTGCCCTGGGAGTGCTGGGAACTAGATTACAGTGTTTTCTTGCCCTGGGAGTGCTGGGAACTAGATAGATAGATAGATAGATAGATAGATAGATAGAGAGAGAGAGAGATAGAGAGATAGATAGAGATATAGATAGAGATAGATAGATATAGATAGATATAGATAGAGATAGATAGAGATAGATAGAGAGAGATAGATAGATAGATAGATAGATTAGATATATAATTCCAAAAGTAATCTCTAGGAATAATCATTCCTATATCTAAAAAGCTTCTTATAAATGCTTCAATTTCACTAGCTTTCCTCTAGATCTCTCGGAATAGTATGTTCTATATTTAAGAGCTGTATATAAAAGCTCTGGGATTGATAACTTCTGTATTAAATGCATATATAACAGCTGTCATTTCAAAAGCTGTCCTCTAGATCTCTGTGATTGATTCGTTTTGTCAATCAAAGCGGTACATACAAACATTTTAATTTCAAGCGGTTTCCTGTAGATCTCTGGGAATAATCATTTCTATATTATATTTTAAAACATGATTTCATAAGCTTTACTCTAGATTCTAGATCTCTGGGAATGATAACTTCTATAAAAGCTTTCATTTTAAAAGCTTTCCTGGATCTCTGGGAAAGTAGATGCCCCAGATGTGTGTTTGCATGTGTCATATAATATATATATTATATATATAATTTGTCTTTTTTGCAGTATCAAAGAAGGAGGGCAGGCTACCACCTAAAAAAATAAAACCTCAAATTTATGGAATACCAAAACACAGGCCCCATGGCGGCCCGCTCTCTCAAAAAACATCCTATTGATATCTCGGCACCGTATCGGTGTTGGTTTACACCTCCCTCCAAAATCTCAAAAGCTCGCAAAAGCTTACAAAGGGATGGATGAGCCCATGCAGAGATGGAGGACCATGGCTCGCAGGCACCGAACGAAGAGAATGAGAAGGCCCAGAGCGAGTCTAACGAGAATCAAGGGGTTGAAGGAGGCATCTTGGGTCTGTCCAACAGACTTGGTGGCGCCACCTTGTTCGGTGCCTTGAGCACCTAGGTCGACCTCATTAGGAGCCTATGGATCGATCACTTTGGAAAAGGCTGCAGGGTCAGTTTCCTTTGGGGGTCATTAGTTATCGGCCACACTCCAGTCCCAAATGGGATTCTTTTGCTGACGACTGCAACGATCCAAAACGACGGAACGACGACGACAACGACGACGGAACGGGCAGGATCGAAGCCAGGGAGCATGGCAGGGCCCTCATGGCCCCTGTTTGGGAATCAAATCACATGTGGACAACTGCTAACCTGCTGCCTGTAAGCTCAGCTCTTGTTTTTCGGTAGGGTAGGGTTTAGGCTTTCATGATACTTCGTTCGGATGACATGGATCGCTCACCACTTTCGCTCACATGTTCCATCATGTGGACAAAAAACAACCAAACGTGCAGAGAACCGTCAGACCCCAGCAGTGCTCGCTATGCCGCCGAGTGACTTGCAGAAGTGCTCTCCGTGCCTGGCGACGACGCGTCGTTGGACCCCCAGCAACTTAACACCGCCCGTTGCGGGAGTGGTCAAAGCGATTCAGAAACACAGTCCGAACGGTGAATGAATTGGTATAACCAAATTGGTTATAAGATCTAGCAGGTTGCTTCTGCCTTTCGGTGCAAAACTCATTCCCAAGTGATGGATTGACTTCTCACGTTGACCACCAATGAATCTCTTGTTTGGAGACAAAGCCATGTATTAGTTCCTGCTTTTCGTTTTGGCCATCCACCACTTTGGGACAGTTACAGAAAATCGGGTGGTCTTGCTTGTCCAAGGGGTGCCTAGAGCGGCTAACACGTGACGTTGCTGTTGGCCACATAATAGTACAAGTATCGTGTTTCACATCTGATACGATCTCCCAGGCACTTGTTAAATTCCGAAGCAGTCAATGCACCCCGGACTTGCATGCACTTACATTTTGGCCATCAGGATTCTGGGTTGCTTACTATTGTACTCCAATAATAAGGATACATTGCAACAGGAACTGTGTGATGCTTACAACACATGGCCGCTCAGTTCCTCTATCTGGACAGTCGAATGTGCTGTGAATCAAGACAACAGGTACTATTGCCAGCGTTGCGCCAACACCCGGCTATTTAATATATTGCCAAATATACTTTGTCTGCGACAAACACTGCTGCAAATATCAATGAAATACACCAATAGGCTACGGAGTACAAAAGGGAGGACGAGGGAGGTGTCCCACATATAAATATATAATATACTATATTATACCATTATCATTCATTATCATATATTGCAAGTACTATTACAAGTATCAATTGAACTTGCGCCAGGAAACTCATCATCCAACATCATTTAACATGTGCCGTGAACAAGGGTTTTAGAAAAGAACCTGTACGTGGGGATTACGTGCGGTCAAATCCTTTGCCATTCTCATCTCCAAATGCATGCAACAACATATCAAAACATATTAAATGAACAAAAAAGGTGCCGGCTCCTTGATTAGAACCCCGGTCCCCCGGTCTAGTTATTCTCCTCCCCAGAAACGGTCACCCGTCACACCACCCACCTCCCGTCGTGGAGTCGCCAGAGCCGGACCCAGAGCCGCTGGTCTGAGAGGTGAGGCGGAAGAACAATTGCATCGCTTCTAGTAACAAGTGCCTTACTGGTAGTAACAAGAAGCTATGAGGAACAAATAGCTGCTAATTAGAATTTAATTGGAGGCATACTGAGTTACTGAAAACATCTACCTGCAGTTCCAACGGGGTGCCGAAGGAGGCTAGAGGGGTGCCCTGTCACATCCGCTCACTAGATAGAAAAACACCGCCCATCTCGGTGTTGCAAGGGATTCTTGGGAGGGGAATGTGTGCTGGTGGAGCTCATGTGAAACACTTTCAGGATATTCATCTTGCCCTAGTCTCGCACGCCAGCCAGCCCTTGTGACCAATGTGATATCCATCTAATTCATTCTGATTCAGCCAAGTCAATGGAAGACTGGCAAGTGCTTCCCGTTTGGGTCTTTGTCCCATGAAAACGGTCAAACACTGAAGGAAGGACCAGCTGGCTCGTGCCAACTGGAGGGTGCACGAAGTCGTGCGCACAGCACTCGATGGCGATGGCCCCTACGAGGAAAACGCCCCAAACTGGGAGAACTATTCAAATAAGCTAGAAACTCAGCTCAAGTAAACACCTGTTTGAACTATGATACATTGCCTCATGAGCCAGCAATTCACAAGTCTAGAGAATTGGAGCAATCCATCATTGGAACAGCAATCAGGCCATTCCTCATGGAGTTGGATGTGTTGAACATTGTTGAACCGTCCCTTCTGAGTGCTTCATGGCAATGGCCACCAGGTGGCCGAAGCTTGCTGTGCATTGGCGGCAAAGTCCTGACGGCGCCAGAGCCGAAGCCGGCTTCGACCGATGGATCCAACGGATCCAACCAATGCCAAACACTCCATGTATGGAAGAGTGACAAATTGTATGACCCCCACTATATGTGAGCAATGTGCAAAACCTCTTATGTGTTGTAGTGCGCATTCTTCCCAACGTTATCCTTTTTTTCTATGAATCTTATCGTTCCTGAGGGTTTGGACACACCTGTATTAAAACCCGGCAGTTGCTCATGTAAGAATATGTTATAACTATTCCAGTCCCATGGATGGTCTGGGCAGGCGTGTTGACCCGGAAAAGGCCACAGATTTTGACCCCTTCAAAGGCCTGGAGAGGCGCATAGGAATCTGTTCATCCCTGGGATTTCGATCGGAGGGGTCCATGGAGTCTCTCAATCTGGAATTGAAGAGTCTGGGGCTGGGGTGTCTTTGTTTGAAGAAAGCCCCTGCAGGTGTTCGGAAGACTAGACCAGCCAGCCCGTTAGGGGTGCGTTTAGACGCACATCAGCTCCGTTGGGCCATTGGGACGTTGCAACCCGAGCGTACCCAGCGTCCACTGGGCGGCTGAACCGTTTTCTTCGATGGAACCTCAAGAACTGACAAGTTCTGGCTGGCTTCGCTCCTTTTTGGAAATTCAACTTTGACCTTTTTTCCACCAGTGGTGTGTCCCCAACCCCAAGAAAGGTTTGCAGGTTATCCACTTGTCCCTTGTAGGATAGGCCCTGATTACACTGGTGATTCAATTAACACCCAGCGCTATAGAGATCTGGGACCATCCAGGATTAGGGAGTTGTCTGATTAATTAAGCGACACACCAAAAGCCGCTCGTGACCCAGGAACCACTCCCCACGCGCATCGCGAGGTCCGACGCGAGGTCCGACGCGAGGTCCGACCCGAGAGGATCGCGAGGTCCGCCACGGGCAGCCCGGTCGGTGCGTTCGTATTAACGAATGGACAGCACAAGCGATATATCTGTCATCTGTCATCTGTCTATCAATATAGTTTTAGTCTTTAGAAGTTATATGGATCCCTGGAGTCATTGATATGTCTGTCTATATGAGTCTATCTGTCATTTCCCTCTCCCCTTGAGTGAAGGCCCCACGTGTCCCACGTGGTAGCCGGTCGCCTCTTTGTCTTCCGTGCCCGACGCGCTGATGTAGACCGCCTTGGGTGCAAAGTCGGCCTCAGTGTTTGGGCAACGGTCGGCGACCCGAGGCGACGGGTAGCGATGACGTCGCTCTCTTCGGCGGCTGGGAGCTCAAGTGCCGAGCTGACTCGAAACGAACGTGATTGCAGTCGAAACACAGGTGAAATCGTTCAGAACGTGGACGTCCATGAACTAAACCTGTGGGGGGACACCTTCGGAAAGCTGGCATCCGACAGATTTCCGTGTGATGGAAGAAAAGCAGCAGTGTCGAGTCTTGGGGCTCGTGGACTGGGATCTCTTGACCGTGGATTTCCCTTGATCGAAGCAGGTTCACTGACGATGGCGATGGCCCGAAAGGTTGCCAGTCAGCCAAAATCTGGAAAATGCGCGAGTCCGCGCGAGTCAACCTGTCGCTATGGGTCACTCTAAATTAAACCTCCAGGTTCCTAAGGGCTTTGACCTTTATGGCGCCACGCAGCGATACACGCCGCGCCCCACGCTCTTCTTTCACAGTCTACGATGCTGGAGGAAGTCGACCACTCCCGCGTGCTTCAAAACGGTTCATGTTCAAACGGTTTCGCCATGCGACCTGGTTTCATCCTTTCTGTCGTTCAGGTGGTCCAGCTGGGGTAGGAGTTTCGTCTGAAAAAATGAACAAGGAACAAGTCGATATAAAATATAAGTCGGTAATCACATGCCTCAGTTCCAGAAAGCCTCTGTTAGGTCACTTTCCAACATAAGTAGATGGATATACTAAGAGATACTGCAAATTGTCCAGAGTTTGGTCAGGTCTCACACCTCATTTTTATATCTGGACCTTCCACGGGTGTATTGTTACAGCCATTTGGTGAAATTTAAGATCAAAAATGCCTTCTCATTTCAAACATGATGCTTCACTACTTTGACGATGTTACCAAACTAGCGGTCGGCCAACGTTGCCGTTGGTCGGGGAAAGTCGCTGTTTGGGCGGGACCTGTTACTGTATAAACATATTGCAATGCAAAAGTGATTCAAAACAAGCAACAAAAGCTTTAAAGCAAAAACACAAACAAACTATGTTGATTGAAAAGGCAAAAAATATAGCAAAGAAGACCCACGCCAGCACTTTCGACGAACGCCTACGAATAGCAGGGAGAAACATTGACAAGCTCTCGTTGAAACACATCCTCTGCAACTCCTCCCGGGGCGGAGGAAATCCCAACAGAACCTCAACGACAGAGTCTTTTCGTGGTGCAAATGGGTCGCTTGGGAAATTCGTACACCCACCCAGGAAGCGGCAAACAATTCAGCTGAGACACCGCCGACTGACCTATCTTCACCAAGCCTGGTACTTCTGCCGTGCAAGTCGGGACTGCTTGCATGTTTTTTGGATCACGTACCGAGATCGAAGAAAAGGGACTCCCACAGGAAGTCTGGACAGTGGAAACAAACCATCGAACTTGCGAAAAGGGAGTTAGATTCAACATCGTTCAGCAAAAACGAAACCTATATAACCCGTCCTAACCCAGTTCAATAGACCTCATAGTAGAGTAGTAGAGTTGGTCAAACCAGTTCACACGTCTCAAGACTCGAGGTTTTAAAGGCCAGGTTTGACCATTCGACCTTCGTCGTTCGTATACGGTCAGCGGTGGCCCCACGACGATTCAAGGCGAATGAAACCATCCACAACAACATTTGGGAGGTGCCACCATTTGCTCCATCCAAAATGTCAACAAAAATAGGGACAATGACTTGGCAAATGTGATTTCAATATAATTACCCAACAGAAATTGCCTTGGCTTGGTCCCCAGGATGTGGCAGGGACCACCTACGACACAGGCGCCACAAGTAGCAGGATGTGGTGTCCAAACCCGACATCTTCGGAGGGGATGAAACCGACATCTTTACCACTTCACATGCATCCATATCCAATTTATGGGCCTAATTATAAATAACTATATTCCATAATTACATGGAATGGTGGATGGGTCAAGGGTCCCTCGGCCTGTGAGTCAACGGCACCGCGCAGGCCCTCCAGTGTCCCACGTGCCCTGTTGTTCTTCAGTTGCGACACCGGAATCCCGGCGCGACGGCGACTAAGATCTATGAATCGGTACCCGACTGGCGACTGGCCGGTTATAGCACTTGTCAGAGCAACATAGACAACACAACGGAAATGATTCAAAAACTGAGTTGAAAGGAGGAATCTATGATCGCCTATACAAGCAAGCTGCCTCTCCCGGCCCTTGATCATCCGACGGTCAGCCGACGAAGCGCGCGCGGAGATCGGTCCGAAGAGATCGGTCCGCACCTGGCAAGGACACCGGTCCAGCTGCCTTCAAGGCAGCAGCCTCATGCGTTCTCTCGCTGGGTCTTCGGATCCAAGAAACAGGCGCTTCAGCGCGAACTGTCACTGTATCTCTGTCTGCGCAACTACCCCAACCACCTACATCAAATTCAGGGCGAAACAGCAAACTGATGTCCGTATGTCATGTGCATGAGGATATTGTTCCTTGTCGTATGCAACTATTTGTCAATATTCTTCATGACAGCACAGCCTGGCCAGTAGGACAGATCATATATACGGAAGGGTGTAATTCAAAGGCGAGGTGGAGTACCCTGCAGGATATTGATCCACAGTGAGTGTCCCCCACACCATGCTTTCACCATGGTTTCGGCACTCTTGCTCTCCACTGTCCACAGTGGTGATGTTCGTTTCGGTATGCTTTCGATAAAACGTTCGTCTCGGGCCTCTGTGATCACGTTCTCACTGATGGAGGCCACAGAGGAGCACCCGGCTGGTGCACTGGGTGTGTCCGGTGTGACCGAGGCCAAGGTCCTTCCTGCAGAAGCCGATCTCAACGAAGACAGTCAGCTGCGCACGAAGCACGTGCTTGGGCGGTGGATTCCGTGGATCATGCGTTCAGGATACTCATGACAGCTATATAATATAGTATCACATAGCATTGTTTTTGAAACGATATTAACACCTATTAAAAGCCATTGTTGGACTACAAGCATGATCAAACATGAATATTTTCTTTAAAAAAAAAAACTAAAACAAACACACCAAAGGAAATGCATCAAACACTATGAAGTGTGGATCCACAAGTCAAACCAGGTGATCATGGCTTTGTGGTGCACCTGATTCACCTGATGCTTGAGTCAATGTTGACATCCCGCCATGAAATCTCGGTGTAAATTCAAAACGGCGGGTCTAGAGGTCACATGAAGCCGATATCACCACTATAGGATTCAAGGTCTCTGCAACAAGATGAAGCATTGTCATATGGTGTCGGGACATAAGGTTGAAGAGGATCTTGGGCTGAAAACCCTTCTCAAGATTTCAGCCAACAGCACTTTGTATGAACCTTTAAAACTCCAATTGGCCAGGGAGTCTCCGTATTTATGATACATACAAATCCAAATCAAATCAAGTTGTTTGTGATCTTTCTCTCAGGGCGTCTCTTCCCCCGGCCGCTGGCCGGACCAGTCCATGCGGTGCAAACGGATCAAAAGAAGGTGCACGTGGAATAGAACTACAACACTTAGACTTGTTCACGAGAAAAATGACTGCAGGATGACCCAATCAATGAAGATTCCCAGGTCATCCTGGGTCTCTGTATTTCCCGCGCTAAACAGACATCGGTCACGTTGGACGTCCCTCTTGGAAGGACCGAGCCGATCCAGTGGAGCATGTTTGGGTGTCACATGGTGTCACTGGCCTGAGGTGTCACGTGGGTCGGATTTGATGGAGCACATTGATTAGGACACGTTGAACCGTTGAAGGCTTTGACAGTACCAAGGACCCAACGCGAGACCTTTCAGAGGCGCCAAATCCTTCGTTGGAAGCACAGGGGCAGGGGCACACAGGGGCGTGTAGATCCTTTTCGATCTCTTCATGGATGAAAGGAGCCCCGAAGTCTGTCTCGTGCAGCTGAGATGTTTGACAAATGAAGCTCGCTTTCTATGGCTCCACCAGCCTGCTTTTGGAGCATTGTCCCAACATCCACATCGACAGCCATATGGATGCCGGCACAAGTGTTGATATCTGCCTAGGCCCATTGGCCTGGGCTATCGGTCTTGTGCCTCTCGAGCCGAGCAAGTCTGCTTTCCACATCGTTAGACTGCTCATCTTTCCCGCATCTGAAGTGGGTCTGCCACCGTGGTCGAGCATCCACACCTACAGCCCCAAACTCGCTGAGCTGCCAAGCCTTGAAATCAATCCACCAGTGTGGGACTTGAGCCCCGTTGGAGTCTTTTGGTGGGGTAATGAAAAACCCCTACCCACCCGACGAACTAGCCACTGGCCGTCCTGGACAGTAGGTGCCTGAGGCACTCAAGGAGGCGCAAATCGAGAGCCCATCGGCGCTTCGCGCCACCGAGACGGAGGCGACCTGGAACGCGGAAAAGGGAGGGGAGCAAGCAGTCCTGTTGGGGTCCAACGTTTGGACCACAAGAGCCAAATTGCAAATAGACTATATATATGTATGTATTATACAATAATGCAGCTTTTTTGCTTGCTTGCGTCCACTCAAAGCGTTCGGCACGTTCCTTTACTTAGTAAATTAGAAAACAGAGGCCTCACTGTAGTGTTCCACAGCCTCTTCCAAAAAAAGGGGCTGCGCACGCCGGCATTAAGCATGGCGCGTCGTCTCGTCACACAAATCTCATATTCACCAAAGAAAAAATACTGATCCCTGCGACCCCTGTAAAAAGGGGCTAGGCCCAGAGGGGGGTAAAAAGTCCCTCTTCCGTAGAAGTAACATTAACATATATATATATATATAATGGTTTTGATTATATATGTGATTATATGTGGCATTATGTAGCAAATCATGACACATGCTTTGTACAAACACACAGCGCAAGACTTGCAAGGCCCGTTGCACAGTCTCCGAAGTGGGAAGCAAATATCGGGAGTAAATTGGCCAAGCATTGCAAACAATTACTGTACCTTCAAGATCCTTCAAGTGTCCTGCGGGCATGTCTCTATCTTCCTGTAGGGATCTTTCTTGGCTGTTGATTCTAAAAGGTGGTCAGTTTGTTGGAACTCCTGAATACATGAACCCACCTTGCACCAAATTAAACATGGAATTGTCATGAGTTGTCTAATATTCATACCGATGCCTGACTCACAGTCGACCCAGGGATACAACAAATATACGGTAGGTGTCCTGGCTCTGGTTTTCCTGCAGGCATTTGTTCTATAGTCAAGCACATTATATTCATTCCTCTCAGTCAGCCCAAGAAAAGAACAGTTTATAGCAATAAACAGTGTCCTGGTGCGTCTGCATGCATGTGTTCGAAAGATTATCCACGGTAGGTATCCTGGTCTTTCTGCACACTTCTTCGACGAGTTTGATCTCACACAGAAGTGTCCACCTCTATGACAGAAGAATGATCGAAGTTTCAGAATAGGACTTCGCACCTCTGCCGTTTCGATTTGTGCACAAGTGTGAGGAATGATCGAACCCTCCCCAGCTCGGACGCAGCGGCCGAATAGGTGTTGCTGGCGGAGGAAACGAAGCAGTCGGTGGTGAAGGCTGGATAGACCTGAACAAAAGCTGCAAACAGACATTGGAACATTGGAACATGGAACTCTGATGAGCTCCGTCTACAAAGGACAGGAGGCAACTCCCATTCTGCAAAATGTGAGTGGGGTGTAGCCTTAAGACCTTTCTCTATTCTTCTGGGGGGTGATGAATATCATTATAGTTCAAAGTTCAATCATGTTACAGTAAAAGCTGGGACCTTGATTGTCTGGACTGTGACTTGCTGACTTTGTGGTGGGCAATGTGACACATAGATGTGTTTACCCTTTGCTTCAACGCTTGGAGAATCTAAGCGTCGCTTGTATGAACCTGCTCAAACACGTTCTCCATGGCCGAACGAAAGTGAGCTCGCACGACGTTAGAGCCCCTCCAGTTCGAGGGAAAACATCCGCAGAGAGATGGGGCCAACCTTCACTCACACATGACATCTTCGTTTGACAGCTCCCCAAAATGTTCTTTGACCCCAGCTCGAATGCGGGAGTTCGAAAGCCCTTCTTCCCTATACTCTGACCTCCTTTTGAGGTTCTCTGCTTCAGCTGTAATGCTGAAGGTGCAGGTGATCAACACGCCGTGCAGCGAAAGGCTAGAACCCTTCACCTTTGTCAAGGTGTCAGCCACCATGGCTGGATGGTCGATCCAGCGGATTTCTCCGCCAAGGTGCTTCAGATCCTGTCGGATGATCTGGATCTCTATGGCCATTCTTTTGTCTTGTCCTCCGATGGTCTCCTTGCTCAGGTAGTCGTATAGACTTCTGGCGTCTATGATTGCTAGACATTCCTTGAGCACTCCCTGTCTTTGGAGGTGATGGCCAGCACTTCTTCCTTAAGACTTGATGGCCATTCGCTCATACTTCGAGCTCTTTGAAGAGGACTTTCATCCACAGCAGGTCTCCCAAGCCTCTTGACAGGCTTTGTGTGTTTCTGCAGCTAGGGCGCTGTTCACGACCCTTTGGAGTTTTCCACTCCTCCACCAAACCACGTTGGCTTTCACCTGATCTCCTTTCCTTAGACCAGGTCCAGGTTCATGGGCTATGATCATTTGTCCTCCTTGTGAGTGGAACTCATCGTTTCCAAATGGGCGTCAGTCACCACTGCCAACTGCATCTCTTGGAGAGGTTGCACTTGGATCGTGAGCTCTGCCGTCTTCTTGAGTCCTTTGATCACTTCATTCAGGCTGAAGAGATCCTCTACTTTGAGTCTTGTCAATCTTGACGACATCAGGCTCGAAGGTCCTGCAGCATCTGGCCTCCCTTCCTTTGACAGCCAGTTCAATGATCCACAAGCTGCCCTTGCTAAGCTTTTCTCTTCGGAATCTCCTGCAATCTTTCTTCCACGAACTTCTGCATGTCGATGAGCAGGGTTCCATCGGCTCTTTGCCTGAGCCTTCTCTCATTGAAAGATGCTCCCTTTTCTTCTTGGCTTAAGTTCACCCATTTGCCGAAGGTGAACTTTTCTCTCAAGGTCTTCATCTTTTCGAGGAACTCTCCTTTTCCGCATGCCAGGATGTCGTCTACTTCTATTGCTAGCACGCCTTCCAGTTTCGTTGTTGTAGTACTTGAAGATGCATGGATCGAGCCTGCTTTCCTTGAAGTTGAGGTCTTTCAAGGCCTTTAGGAGTGTCTTCCTCCAGTGAAGGAGGGCGTCTGCCAGCCCGTAGCATCCTGCAACGATCAAAATGATCTGGTCTGGGTGCAATCCTTCTATGCCTCCTGGAGGCTGCCTGAAGTAAAGAGGGCCATTGGGCCTTTTCAAAGGAGCGCTTTGGCAAAATGCGCTCTTCAGGTCGCCAATGCCGATTTCCATTCCTTCGTTGACCGCTATTTAGAGCATCACGTTCAGATTCATGGTGCTCACTGTTGGGCTGAATCTGTCCAGCTCCTCTTGTGCACAAACGACTTTTCTTCGAAGGAGCTTCTCCTGGCTGTTCGGCTGGCTTATATTTTCTTGCCATTCTGGACGGCAAAATGCGGTCCAGCGCTCCTTCTTTCCTTAGCTCCTCTTCTACTTTCCTGGAGCTTTCAACGTCGAGGACTTGAATGGCCTTACTTTCTTGGATCTTCTTGAACTCTGAGGCGTCAGAGATCTTCCATTCTTCTTGGTCTTCTGGGCTTTCTTTCGCGAGGTTCACCTCGACGCTCAGATTTCCTCCTCCTGGCTTCTCTGTTGCCCAGACTTCTATCTTCTGGGATGTGGTGTCCTTTTTCTCTTCATTCAAGAGGACTTCGAACTCCGTGGTTCCTTTCCACCAGAAGCCTTGTTCTTCTCTTCCTCCTCGCTTTCCATTGAGCCAGTTGTCCTCCTCTTCTTCTCTTTCTTCTTCTTGGAGCAGAGGCTTCATCTTCGTTCTCCTGGCTCCCAATGACTTGAGTGGGATTGGGATCCCCTTCATTCCTTGAGGGCTGAACTTGGCTCTTCTTTTGGTGACGTGGTGCTTTTGAGCTTCTTTTCCTTCAGGTCCAGTTCCCAGTAGTCTTTCTTTGGTATGGACCCAAGAGCTCTCAACCTTTCTCTTCTCTCTTGCCACTCTTCTTCTTCTGGTTCCTCCAGTGAGGATATGAACCATTCTTGAAAGTAAGGATTCGCCTGGCTTCTGTTTGGTCTGATTCTCAGTGGTCCTGACATGGGAGGGATCCCATCCAAAGCTCTGGCCCTTTGGGCTGACTCGATCATGCTTTGGCGAAATCTTTCACAGACTCCTTCTTCTCTTTCCTCTCGAGTCCTTGCTTGTGTTGCTGGTGTAGCCGGCCTGGTGGCTCCTTCCGCTTCTTCTTCTGGTTCAACCTCTTCGGAGCTTATGGCACCACTTCGACCACCTTCACCTTCATCTGGGGTGTCTATTCTTTCAGGCGAGTATTCAAGCTCTTCTTCTCTTCGCCTTCTTTGGTTTCTATCTTCTTCTTGCATCTCTTCTTCCTCTTCTTCGCGTTCTCTTTTCTTCGGTCTTTCATCTTCTTTCTCCTCCTGTTCTTCTTCGTGGTCTTCAGGCCTGGCTTCTCCTCTGAGGTCCTTATATCCTTTTCTGCTTGAGGATCTCCTGAAATCCTCGACCAGGTCTTGGCAGCTTCTCATCACTTCTTCTATGCCTTGCTTCTCGATGTTGGTGGCTCTTCGACATTGTCCTGGCCACTCTCCGTAGCTCACCGAACATTGACACCCAAAGACTAGCTCCATCGATGGCTATGAGGGTGCCTGGTCCTACCCAGGTGGCTTTGTTGGGAGTGTTCTCGCTGCTGGGCTTCCTCCTTCTTGTTTTTTCTTCTGCCTTGGGACTCTGCACACGAAGACATAGTCCCCGGCGTTGAACTCCTGTGGTGGCCTGCTTCTTCCTCCTTCAACTCTTCTTAATGCTTCCTTGGCGTTGTGCTCGACAAATGCCTTTTGGGCAATCCTCCTCATCTCGAGCACTCTCTCCATGTCGTCCACCACTGCCCCATTCATGAGACCTGGGTCTATGACGTCATCTCCCAGGAGGGTGCTTGACACTCGGGGCCATTGACTTATCTGTCGTTGGACAGGGGAAAACCCACTTCGATTGCTGAACCTGTTCTTGGCCATCTCTACTTCTTGCATGAGTAGCTGCAGCTCTTCTCTCGTGGTGATGACAGCTTCTTCCCGTGGCTTCTCCAGCAATTCCTTGAAATGGTGCCCATGCCGCTCTGTTCTTCCGTTTTGCCACGGAGCTTTGGCTGCAATGGGTTGAGTGACGATTCCATGGGATGCAGCCATTTGCATGAGTGAGGCGAGCTCTCTTCCTGCATCTGCCACTATGACCTCAGGCAAGCCGAAGGTTCTTTTTGATGTGGACCAAAAGGTGTTCCATATGGTCTTTGGTTGCTTGTCTTTCTACCCTCTGGTAGTTGCTGCCCTAGTCCACCATGGACAAAGCGGGAAACATCTTGCCAGCTCCGACTTCCGGAAGGAAAATCAAGTCGATGCCTAGCCTGGTCGCCTTGGGTCTTTGCTTCGCTTCGCGCGCTGGACAGCTAAATTCTTTGTAGGCCCACCTGATCACTTCTTCTTTGACTCTGGCAGCTCTCATAAACCTCACGAATTCTGATCTTTGTGGATGCCCTAGTCCTCTGTGAAGCTTCATCACTGACAGCTTCTCTTCTTCAGTGATGCGGTGCATGGGCTCCTCTTCTCCTCTCATTCTTTTCTTTTCTTCCTTCTCCATCTCCTTATCGAGTGCATCGTCTAAATCTTCTTCTTCTTCTTCTTCGTCTTCTTGAGCCAGAATTTCCAGAGCCCATACTTCTTTCTCTTTGTGGTAGAGACTGACGTCTTTCCTCAGCTGATTCTTGAGCCCTTTGATGACCTCAGCGCAAAATGCTGGTGGGTATTCTTGGGCTTTGTGAGGAAGTCCACGAAGTGTTGGAACGTGGAAGTGTTTCTTGTCACTCCTCTTCTCCACTGACATTCATTCCATACATGCACATGTCAGTCGTGGTGGTCCAAACTTCTTCCAGCTCTTCAATCTTCTTTGCATTTTCTTCTTCCCAAGACTTGGCGGTGTCAGGATGTTCAAACAGAAAATACTTTCCTCTTTTGTGTTGCCATTCTGCTAACTTCATGGCTAGTTCCAGGTGCTCTACGCCCAGGAGTAATAGGAAGCATGCCACTTCCCAGTCCATCTTCGGGTAGTGCAGGGCTTGGAGGATGGAAAAAGCGCAGCACGGCGGACACAACATGAGGAGTATTGGATCTTCTTCTTTCAACCGCCTCCACATCTCTTTCCTGCGGGAAGGGTCCGACAGGTTCCAGCCTGTGAGAAGATCAAAAGAGGTTCCTGCTGACAGTCCTTGGTTCTTCGCTTCTTCAGCAATCCTTGGAGGAGAAAACACTTCGCTGACCTTTGTCAGCCCTTTCATCACGAACTTCCTTTGTTTTCTGTTAAACTGGGTCTCCTTTTCGAACCCATAGACGTCTTCTGCCCAAGTCTTTTGTTTCATCTTGGTTTTGACTCTAACAGGCCTTTCTTCTTGTAGGGCACTATTCCTTCGAC